AACTGACTTTTCTTGCCTACAGATTTCTGACAGGATTTTCGGTTTCTTTCTGCGACTCCGTATCTCGGCCCAGTTTACGGTTGCCGGTACTATTTGTTTCCTCGTGTTATTGTATCTTATAGATTCTTGATTGCAATAGCACACGCAAAGCCAATGCCCAACAATTTTTACCAATCTGCTTATATCCACTCGCGCAAGTTTTTTTTCAAGTGAACTTTAGATCTATCTTTCAAGCTGACGGTCTCACGCCTGTACGGGTCCATGTTCGGAATGGCAAGTTCTTGTGGCATGTCCAGATCTACGACCCCTACTCGTTTCCTATTCCAATGCATGTAAATGTTGCCGACCATCGAGGCTGCGCAGGTATCATCGCTCTGTGTCCGAGTAGTAAGCTAATCAAATTCTGGTTACTCAATGATATGAATATGAACCGCAGGCGGCTGCGCAATACGTATTGCGCACACTTTTCTGCGCTTTGGAGTAATGGTTTCGCTTGGGTTGGGTTCGGGGTACTGCGGCGCGGATGTCAGCATCAGCTACATACCTACAGTACGTAGTAGGGTACGCACCCACGTGTTGTACGCTGGCCGCTTCCGCAGCATCTTGCTCAGGTACATGTCAGTGACAACCACTAGGTACCTGCATTCCAAGACTCGAGTTCGCGTAACATCGACTTCCCAACGCCACCATCAAATCGACGGGATCAAATGATAGTCTCTCAAGAATCAGATCTGAACTTTTGAAATTGCTCAAGATTTTCCCACTCGAGGCTGCGAAGTTCGAACACCTTTTGAATGCATGTAAAGAATCAGGACGGTAATAACGGAAGTGCATAGATATCATGAATCTGGCATATATGATGTACAACGAATTGGTGTTATGTAGTCATCGACGTAGTTACAATTTTTTCCCGTAACATACGGGCGCCTATCCGTATATCTGCAAGCATAAATCCAATAGATGGTAAACAAAGGGGTTTGTGAGAGCGGTTCCGTCAATGGTGGTTACAAGCTAAAGGCATACAAGGACATAGTCCAACAACATAACACTTGAACGTACAGTGCCAAACAATGCACCTCCGAAGTCTACACCACGATCCACGCACTCGAAATAAGTACCCCACCCAAAATGCGCGTAACCCAAGCCCACGCACCTAAAAAAAACAGTCACTAATCCAATCCTCATAACTATGAATCAACAGCAATACATGCTGAAAGTGGAGAATGCACGTATTCCTGCGCAGACAGCACCGGTTTGCGTTTCGTCAACGGTCGTGAAGCCTCGTGCCGCCGGAACACCATCTGTGCGACAAGCTGGGATATGTTCCCTATGACGCCCTTCCTGCGGCGTTCGGGACTCTTCCCCTCGTTTACATCCATGCCGACCTTGTCGCCCAGCTTCAACCTGAGCAGAGCTCCGACCTCCGCACTCCTCTCCCGCTCCCGCTTCTTCTTCGACTTACGTGTGTATGCGTCTGTGCATTCCGGGCCCTCTGGCAACCCCTGCACTACCGCAAGTGAGCGCTTGCGCAACTCGAAGAGCTGTGCGAGCTCAGGGTCGCTGTCCATGTCGTGCACAGAAAGGCAGAGATGAAAATCTTCGGGCGAGGGTGAGCGTGGGAGGGGCACGTCCCTCGGATCGTGGATGAACAGAAGTGGTTGGCTAGGGACGAACGGGACGCCTTGGGATGGCGTGAGGGGCACAAACGCGGATACATCGGGGAGGAGGTCGTCGTCTGTGTCAGCACCTGGGAGCGATAGGAGAGATGGGCCAGGAGACGATGGAGAAGATGGTAGGTTGTCTGTATCATCGGGAAGAGAGGAGCAAGACCGTCTGCTGGGAGATGATGGTGGTATACGGGGTAGCGCTTTTTCATGCTCTAGCTCGGGGAGACCTGAAAGGGAGAGATGAGGGGCTCTGAGCTCTGGAGGATCATCGATGATCATGTCTGCCAATGAGAGGGCGGAAACGGTGGGGGGAGGATGGGGGTTGCTCATCTAGTTGATGCATGGGTATGTGTTGGTGCGATGACCAGGGTATGTGAAGCGGCACGAGTTTGGGACGAGGCGGGTCAACGCCAAGAAGATAGGGCACCTGATCAGGTGAGAAGGACGTTATTTCGTTGGATACTGGCATAGACATATCGTCAATGTCTTCGCTCCCTAAACCGGGAGACCAGGAAAAATTAGGGGAGGGCGGATCATTCCAATGGGACTTAGCCAGACCGTGCTCGGGTGGCTTCCAGGGTGGTGATAGAGGCGAGAGCGGCGAATCCGATTCTGCGGAACTATCCGACATGGCAGATATCCCATCGTAAAAATCCTCTTCAAAATCACCCTGATGAGGAGTTGTGTGCCCACTCTCCTCAAACATCGAATCATCGTCATCATCTTCATAGCCCGGCAACTCTAGGTTATAGAGCAATTGCGTCGGCGGTGGCGTTAGAGGTCTATGACAAGCAAGGTCCTCGCGGCGCATAACGATAGGCGAGTCCAAGACGCCTGGTGAATGGGTAGTGAAGATGGGAGTAAATTCGCCTCTTTCTTCTGGTAGTGGGATGGTGCACTTTGATGGAGAAGCGCTGGACGGCGGAGTCGGGTATAAGCTCACCGGACCAGACTGCTTCAGAAGATTGGAAGGACCAGGTACGCCTTGTGTGTGTTTAGAGTTGAGAGGGGGAAAGTCCTCCTCCGAAAAAAAGGAGAAGAAAGGGCTACTGCTGCAGCTAGGAATTGGCTGCCAAGGTTGCGAGCAGGGTGGAGCGGGGGTAAACACGAGCTGCGGCTCTGGTTTGAGCAAGGAGGAATCATTCAGAGAGGATATGTATTGAACTAGGGCAGCCCTAGTCAAATTATCCCTGGTATCCATTATGTCCACCGATATTCAAGCCCTGCAACAAGCGCCAAGTTTGATCAACAAAAAAAACAAGCAGACAAAAAACAAGAACCGAAAACTTACAACTGGTACATCAAAAGTTGCAAGACATCACAAAAGACAGAAGAAACAGAAGAATTTACTTTAGACGATATCGAATCAAAGAGCGTTGCAGTGCTTGACACCGTCTCCTCGTGCCCAACCAAAGGTTTGTGGCTGAGAAACTCGTGTTCGGTGATTTCCTTGATGGGCCTGCAGGAGATCCACGACGTTCAACCACTACTAAATAGAGCACCATAAATCATTATCTAACACATTTATCTTTACATCACCTGCTCTCTAACACCTGACAACCACATCATCCTCAATAATTAGGTCTTCTTAAGTGCTGAGACCCGATCCGATAATGTCTCTTCGCCCTCAGTGGCATGAGGCTCTAACTCCGTAGGTTTCACCCCCCTTTTCGTCAACGCATACTCCCTGCACGCATCTATACTCTTCTTCAATTCTGGATCGTCCAGTGTTAGCGCAACTACATTGATCCCCGTAAAATTGAGTTCCAGAAGTTGCGCCACTTTAGCCAGCAGATCGGGATTAGGTGTATACGTCCCAGAATTGTTATCAATCACCAACTCCCATCTCACACCACTATCGTCCGTACAATCGGAGAACTTCTCCCAGCCACCTTCTGGGCGAGGGTGAAACTCCCCACTGTATACTACGCTTTCTGCGCAGTTGCTATGCAGTGCATGCTTCGATGCAAAGTCTACGAAGAACGTCGCCCCTGTCTCTGAGAAACGGAAGGTCTCGTCTTCCTCGGTGATAACATACGTGTATACTGCGGGTTTGATGCGATATTCAAATGCGCTATTGCCGTCACCCGATGATCGACGTGAGTCGCCTCGCAGCAGTTTGAACACATCATCGGCACTTGTGATAACCCCAAAACCATTCAAAACGGTCCGGGCGTATAACATGTGGTGGCCAGCCATGATGCCGGAACGCACTGCAATTGATGTAGGTCCTTTGAAAATTGCCTGTGCGGCCTTGTAATCGTGGTTCCATCGTTGCACCGTATCCCCAAAGAACTGTGGAATGCCTTTAATATAGATCTTCCATGTCGAATACAGCCGCGTGTCCCTGAGATTGGTAAGAACGCCCATTGTTGGTGAGTCGTGTCGAGAATAGTGAATCGGGCCATCAAACAAGTATGGTAGTGATCTTGAATTATGAACCGAAGGAGAGGATTCAATCTTAGAACCAAACGTTGATAAGCACAATCTGTGGCGATCAAATGTGGGGCAGACATACGTTCAACCAAAATGACCCTTTATTTCGACCAAGGCGCTTGCCGACTATTTCAACCTCTTTCGTGCCTGGAGTTACAGTGGTCTGAAACACACCGACATCACTATCTACGAGCGCTCCAGTCTCTACCTCTCGTACTACCACCGACAAGGTAGCTGTGGAAGGAACAGTCTTTACGTTCCAAGTCTCATCCCAAACAGGGGAGAGGGTATTCGGCTTGACAGATGACCTGCGAGAAAGTAGGCCAGTGTCAATATGCAGACAACAAAACACTCACGTGTACGAAACCTTGTCGTCAAGTGTAGCACGGAAACACGGGTTCATCGTGCCAATAACATGCACCCTTGCAAGATCCGACGCCCCAATAAACTTCAGAACCCTTCATTTGCACCCAGCACGCCTCAACAAGATAAACACTTACCCTGATAACCAGATCCACGTATTTGGTATCTACATGGAACTCATTCGCCGCGAGCTCGATGGTGTTGAGGTGGTTGCGGAGCTTGACTTTGGTGCTCTGCAGAGCGTGGTGAGCGCTTTCCATGGCGTCTTGAAGACAAATAGTGTGAGAGGACGCCGGTGGTCCATAGAGGTGTTTCGGGTTCAGGTTGCCAAATTGCGCACACCAAGTACAGGATATTCGGCTGCGGGAAGGTTGTATCCGATGAGCTCAAACCTTACTTCAGGGTTAGGGTTACATGACCTCACAGCCGATCAGTAACGGTTGCTCCAAGGTGGCTAAGACTAACGAGCTCGGCCTCTGTGGGCTGCAAACGAATACTATCCGAGTCCCGTCAAACGGTGCGTACAATTAGCAGAAGGGGAGTTAGGTGGAGATCTCAGCTAGCTCGCGATTTCCTTAACAAACCGACCCTGAAGAACAGTTCACGATGATATATCCGCACGGCATCTGAACACCATGCGTCCTACTCCCAACTTTCGTTCCCCAGCGCCTGAGAAAGTTCCTTCAAGTGTGCCTTACACGCTGCCAGACGATCACGATGATCAGGATGAACGACACTGGGTGATAAACACCATCCGCCACAAATGCACAGCATCATATCTGACCCCCAAGCGACTCGAGTACCACCGCAGTTCTTCATTCTGCGATAGCGGTTATCGCTTTCATCTAACGGCGGCAATAACGTCACGGGCGCAGCAAACGCGGATGACTTTTGATGCCCAGGTTAATAAGCTGGTCCGAGTTGTTGAGTGTCACAGTGTGATGACATGGACAACAGATTCCGCTGTTCATTAAATGAGCGGTGATAACCATCCAGTAGAGAACGGACCGCCGCCCATTGAGAGGCGAAGATAACAATTAAGTAATCGAGTGATCCACGTGTTGACGCAAGACCCAGCCTGTTGGTGAATGCGCCAAGTTGGGTAAGTTTATGGGGACAATCGACTTGTGACTGGATAGACGTATTTGTATTTGTCGAAATGATGATGTTCGAGGGTGTTGGCTAGCTGATGGAGTTAGGTTCCAACTAGCGTCATCATCTACTGTACATGACCGGCGCTGGCGAAACCCTAATCACCACTCGAACGGGAAAGCTACCAGCTGTAATTTATCTAATCAGGATATATTGATGCTGACACCATTATAGTAGCTGTGAGGTCATATCTGTGAGGACACTCCATTACGGTGAGGTATATCAACACAAGTCCGAGTTTACTGACCGAAGTGTGATTTCTCACAGCTTGGGGAGCCGTAACTGTAGTAAGTGCAGTTGTCCGTTGGGCCATGCGACATTATCGTCAAATAGAATCCCAAGATGATCGATGACAGCTCAGGCAGCTGTCTGTGGCAGTGGCGAGTGCCGGAATGGGCCGCCGGGTGCATGCAGCATACATGACCGAGTCGTTGCGGAGAAACGTTTGCTAGCTGAACCGGATTGACACGTTATTTGACCCCCTACA